CAACCAATAAATACAATCATGATCAGCAACTATCAACCATAATATACCAAGACGCCGGCTCAGGCGTACCCTCCAGCTACGGGCAACTCAACATGACAAGCCAGGCCCACTGTAATTATGATCATCAACTATCAACCGTAAATAATGATGGGCCAATAATAGCGAAGAAATTATGTAGTCCTTGATTTTTAATGCCATTATATGGCTAGTTTCAGGTGCTAAAAAGTTCATAGACATAGACGATTCTTCTAAAAAATACGCCAATTTGCTTCCATTTATAAGATAAACTGATCCCAACCCAAAGCCCTTCTCTAACCCCAACCAGTAAACATCTAATAAACAATTTGAGAATTAAAAAAGTGGGGGGAAAGTTGGATCTTGTTCCAAAAACAAATCGAACCGTATCACGTTTCACTTCGCCGCACGCAACGCCACCTCGCTGAATACAATCGAAAACATACATTTTATAGTAATATATGATGAATTAGAAAGTAATTTGGCGCAAATTAATGTAATTAGGTGCAAATTTATAATTATGCAAATAAATACAAGAGCACAACGCATGTTTATGAGCCTACAACGTATATTTATACTTGTTAATTAAAAAGTCAAACTGTCAAACCTTTAACTTGTCCTTGTTCATATTCCACTATATTGTATAAATTCGCTGGGTCCAAATTTTGGGGTTTTCGAGTCGTTACACAAAGAAAAACACACTAATTCAACACGCAAGAAAGGCCAGAGTGCGACACAACGTAAAATCCATAGGAAACGTGCACAATTCTTTGAAAATTCAACGAAACTGTGTGAAATATATATTAGATCGCTCAGTGAAAAGCCGCCATTTTGAAACTGAACTGAATATGTCACTGGAGCACGTTGCACCTTGAGCCTGCGATGACCTAACGCAAACACCATTTCTCGTTGAAAAAAAAAACAACAGAAAAAGAGGGATTTAAGACACTTGGCCTACAGGCCAGTGTAAATAACATATAACAGTGCCTTTAATACCACTTGGTGGAGGAGATTGTGAATGGGTGAATTAGGAACAGATGTGAGCAAAAAATACATGTTCTCGCAATTTTGAGTGAAAGTACAACCCCTTAATTGAGTAAAATGCACACAAATATACCCAAATTTATACTGTATAATGTGCAACTTACGCAGGTTTCCAGTTGGCAATATCGAGCAACATCTTTGTGTAAGGTTCTCAACATAATCATTGCCACAACGCCAGATAGGAAGAGAACAATCACCAGAGAATTCATAATGCTAGAAATAAGAATATTACAAAATATAATACTAAATTTAATACTAAATTACTACTTATTATAGAACTGTAGAAGGATTTTGTATAGATTAAAATGAAAAATTTTGCTTTCCCAAAATCCGCAAGCGGACGAAGGAGAAGTCATTTTGTTTTATTCCTAATGCAACATTGCATTAATTAATGGCATGACGTCATGCATATTGCACCAGTTGATGTCAATCGTGCAGGAACTGTTTTTACTTGTATTGACATCACAGCTCACAACTCCATATTTGGTCAGCCATTTAGTTAAAATGGTAACTTCACCGTTGGGTGTTAGCCAATCAGAAATCAAGAATTATTTTAAACAAACAATAAACGTATCCTCCAGGGTGCATATTGCCAAAAAACATCAATCAAATAGAAATCCTGAACTCTGCTATAGTGTGATTAGCCCCATTTTTGGTGGACACACATTGCCACAACACTAGACGCATTTGAAATGAAAATACTGCATGCAGCTCATGTGAGTCACGTCCAATATCCACGATACGGTATGATTATTCTCAGGCCTTGTGAACATGCAATGGCATACGAACCTGAACCATTGGATACTTGTATGCGGTATGGAATTCAAAATGTAATCCCAACGGGATGCCCACTTGATTGCGGTGTTTGACTAGATATAAAAAAAAAACAATTACTATACAGGGTGTATAAAAAAAAGCGCAACCTCGGAATTTCCCAAGACATCGACATTGTTTTAAAAACAAAACATTATAGGCGCCTGGGAATTTAAAATAGCATAACTGTCAAAATTACTGCACACGCGAGTGCATAAAGCAAAATTTATGCATTTATTTAATGCACAACAACAGTAATATGATCTATTAGCAATTCGATTTAAATTCCCAGGGGCCTAAAATCTTTTATGCTTAAGAATTGCAAAGTGATTTCTTAGGAAATTCCGAGGTTGCG